TACCCAGAGTTTCCACTGTTCCATAAAAGTCAACTCGCTGCAGTGACGATGGGTACCTGAAAATTGAATTTAAAAAAGTACCCTAACTCGGCCGCCATCTTAGATTTTTACTTCTTAATACTTTTGACGTATTCACCCTAATAACAGAAACATTTCGTCCATACATTATGTAGAGTCTCGGTGACTTCTTCTTGTACTATTCCCTAAGAAAACTGATCTAAGATGTTGCCAAATAATTGTGACAAAAACCAATAAGGGGATGATTTTTGACAGATATCCATCATTATTTTGTTTGAAATATCGAAAAAAAAATCCCACATTTTGGACTTGTCTTCTAAATTACCCAAAATCGGGGAAAATTTTCATACCATTTTTCCTTTTTCGTCCATATATTGTACAGAGACACGATCCTTCTAGTGGGTCCTTAGTAAATATTACTTTTTACGAAAATCGATGCATGGTGTTGCCACCTAATTTTACAAAAAATCGCATATAACTATTAAAATGATATTTATTATAGATCTCCGTTGCTCTTATATATAGTTTGTCGAAAAAAAAATCCCACATTTTGGGTTTGCAAAATTACCCAAAAAACGGGGAACATTTGTAACCTAGGTAATATTTCGAACCGAAATCTACCACGGCTCAATAAAGGTCGACTCGCTGCAGGGAAGCCAGGTAAATTTATCATCAGAGAAAAAATACTCAAACTCGGCCGCCACCTTGGATTTTTCCTTTTTTAAATACTTTTAACTTATCCACTTTGGTGACAGAAACATTTTGTCCATACATTGTACAGATGTAAGGTGACTCCTTCTAGTACTTCCTTAGTACTGTTTACTATGAAAATTAGTTAATACTTCGCACCGAGAGTTTCCATTCCTCAATAGAAGTCAGTTCGCTGCAGGGTTGATAGGTGCCACAAAACTGAATTTACTAAAAAGACCTTAAAATTGTCATAATAAATAAAGTATCCTAATTCGGCCGCCATCTTGGATTTTTCCTTTTTAAATACTTTTAACACATACATTTTGGTGACAGAAACACTTCATATATACATTGTACAGAGCCCAGGTTACACCTCTAGTTCCTTAGTACGGTTTACTATGAAAATCGATGTATGGTGCTGCCAGATGATTTTGACAAAAACCACCTAGGATCCTTTGGGGGATGATTTTGAACCAATGCTCATCACTGTTTTGTTCAAATTAACGAAAAAAAAAATTCCCACGTTTTTTTACTTTTCTCCGAAATTACCCCAAAATCGGGGAAAATTTTTAGACCAGGTAAAATTTTCCACCGAGAGTTTCCATTGCTCTATAGAAGTCAACTCGCGTCAGGGATTAATTGTACCCCAAAATTGAATTTTAAAAAGTCCCTAAAATTGTCAACATAAATTAAGTACCCTAACTCGGCCGCCATCTTAGATTTTTACTTTTTAATACTTTTGACATATTCACCCTAGTGACAGAAACATTTCGTTCATACATTGTATAGAGCCTCAGCGACTCCTTCTAGTTCTATTCTCTAAGAAAACTGATGTAAGGTGTTGCCAGATAATTCTGACAAAAAACACCTAAACTCAATAGGGGGATTGTTTTTGACAGATTTTCATCATTCTTTTGTTTGAAATGTCCAAAATAAATTTTCCCACTTTTTAGGACCTATCTCAAAAATTACCCTAAAATCGGGGAAAATTTTTATACCAGGTAATACTTTGTGTTGAGACACATCATCTCTCCATAGTAGTCGACTGGCTGTGGGGTTGCCAAGTGTCCTAAAACTACATTTAAAAATATCCCAATTTTTCTCCGAAAAGCAAAACTCCCCTATCTCTGCCGCCATCTTGGATTTCTAAAATTTCATAATTTTCCCTAGAGGCCGAGTCCTTCGGCTATCCGACGCCGTACAGTGCGTTGAGCTAGCATACTCGTAGGTACCCTATCAATTTCAGTTTTTGAAGCTAGACCTCAATTTCAAAATTTGTCCGATGATGTATGGGTGTTGCCAGCAAATTCTGAAGAAATCCACCTAAAACCCTTCAGGGGACGATTTGTAGTAGACCAAAACGAGTTCTTCATTTAAAATGTCAAAAAAAAAATTTCCCACTTTATGGGACTTTTTTCCAAAATTAACCCAAAATCGGGGAAAAATTTTAGACCTGGCAAATCTTCCTACTCAGACTTACCCATGTCAGTAGGTGGCGTTTAGCTGCAGGGTTGCCATGTGCAGCAAAAACTCGATTGAAAATATCCCAAATTTTTTCCTAAAACTAAATCTCCCATAGCTTGGTCGCCATCTTGGATTTTTGAAATTTCATAATTTTCCCTAGAGGCCGGGTCTTTCAGCCTCCCAATGCCCTATAATAGGGATCGGTAGCTCCCCCGCAAGTACCCTAGGAATTTCAGTTTTTGGAGAGACACTTCAATTTCTATTTTGGTCAAACCATGTATGGGTGTTGCCAGCAAATTCCAACAAAACCCACCTAAAACCCTTTAGGGGATGTTTCTCGATAGGCCTTGATGCCTCTTTTGTCAAAAATGCCGAAAAAATTTTTTCCCACTTTTTGGGACATTTCTCCCAAATTACCCTAAATTCGGAAATTCTTTTTATCGCTGGCAATACTTCTTACCGAGACCCATCATCGCCCCATAGAAGCCGACTCGCTGCGGGGTTGCCCTGTACCTAAAAAATGATTTTGAAAATAATCCGGATTTTTAGGACCAAATTCACACGCCCCCAACTCGTCGGCCATCTTGGATTTTCGAAATTTCATAATTTTCCCTAGAGGTCGGGTCCTTCGAGTTTCCTATGCCCTACAACCGGTGTCGCCAGCACCCCCGCAACTACCCTGGGAATTTCGGTTTTTGAAACCCTAGAAAATTTTCAACCAGTTTTTGGCAATTTTTTCGCCGCCATCTTGGATTTTAATTTTTTGTTTTTACGCCATATTCTGGGTCCCGCCGAGACGTGCCAAATCACTCTTTGAACGGAATCGATCCGAGCGAAACTGTAAAAGTTAGCCGCCATCTTTGTCCGCCATCTTGGATTTTCCCAAATTTCGGAATTTTCTCGTGGTCACCCTAGCCAAAGGAACATTTCCCCCATACATCGTCTCGACCCCCGGACGCTCCTTCTGGGAGAACAACTATGTCAATCAGTGAGTGAGTCACCGTAATGCAGCTTTATATATTATAGATATAATATTTTTACATTAATGTAAATTATAAGCTTCGGACATCAATCAAAATCGAGGGTCACTCGATTGCAACAGAAACCGAAACTTTCAAAATTCAACAATAATAATGTTCTTTCCGAATTAAACATCGCCACATGTAGACACCGTTCATGAAAACGAAACTGTAGCGCGTTTTAATTTTATACCACTCCCATCTAGTGAGTTTCTTCGACGTATATATGTATACCAACCCCGACTTTGGGTACTCTTATGTACATTCGTTTGTATTTATACATAAATTGACGTAAGTCCAGTGTATTACTCTATAAATATTGCGTTCTTACCAATGAATGTATGAGCACTCTTGTTTTGATAATAAACTTGATTGATATGAACTACTACTGTCATACTCGCCCGTCATTCAAGTAATCGTTTAGTGAGTAATAGGCTTTGCAATTTAAACAAAGGCATTGGGATTACCTTCTCATTCCTACGCATTACATGTCCATACCATGGACATTTACAGTAATAAAGTTTATAAAACAGATTAACACACCCTAATTTAATAAATGCGAAAGTAAGTCCGTCTGTCTCGCTTTCACGCCTAAACTTCTGAACCGATTTAAAGAATAGGAAGAAAATTTCCTTGTAAATTGCCGTTATTTTATCTGATTTGTTAAATCAATAAACTGATGAAGTTAATTAATAAACAAAAACGTATATATTCATTCTTTAATGATTCTGTTACTATCTAATGACGTGGCGGATCTTTGAATAACTTGAAAGAGTTATACTCACTATTAAGTAGCTATGACGAGGTCGTGTGGAATGAGTAGTCATGCTCACTAAAATGTCCAGACATGTGGCGGCGTGATGGGCCGGGTCATTGGGCTCCCTAAAATATGGTCGAGCGCAGTGATGGCTGGTTCATCCGTCATACTCGTGAAACTAGTGCTGCTTGTAGGGACTGGTCTGCTCTTATCACTACGACTGATTTAATCTTATTGTGTTTTTATATTTGAGCCTAAATAAATTAGTGCTTGTTGGTAGTTTGTTTTCACACGTTTCGACTTGTAAATGTGAACAAGTATTGTTTAAATAGCAACACACAAGTTTCTTGCTTATTCTTCTTGTGATGAGACAGAATTCCGAATAAGCGGTTGATTTAAAAAAAATTGTTGACTATTCAAAAGTGCTTAAATTAAGTTTATTTGCATAAATGATTTTCTATTCTATTCTATAAAGATCAAATATATGGCGGCGTGGTGGGTCAGGGCAATAATATATGCAGGTAACTCTATTCTCTCTAATTTGAATTTAGAAATGAATCTATATTTTTGTAAACATATTACAAGCTCATTTGATAAGAATAAGAGCTGAGATTCTTGTCATGAAAGCACTCGGAAGTTCTTAGCTTGAAAGCACTCGTAATTCTAACTTGACATATATAATAATAAAAGTCTGTAATAGACTTACACGAATAAATATATTTTGATTTGATTTGATTACTTATTGATACATTTATTGATCAGTTGTCTAGTAATCTAGTAAAAAATGTATCTACTCTAATATTGGAAATGTATTTACATAGATACATTTTTTTTTGTCAATAATAATAAACATAATATACCTAGAAAACACCCAGAGCGATACAAACAATCATACATGAATACAAATCTTCGTGCCATACAAGGAATCGAACCCGCGACCGTACTAATGCAGTGTGCTAAACCGCTAGACCACCGAGGCAGTCGATGAATAATATAGTTGTAACAGCAAAATGTAGATATATAATGAAACATTCCATTATTTTTTATTCAAGGTGGACCAAATGGAGGAAAACACGTGACTGATGTAACAAACGCGTCCCGCACCATGTTAATGAACATAGAAAACTTAGAGTGGGACCCGTTGTTGCTAAAATTCTTCGAAGTGCCAAAGTCTGTGTTGCCAACTATAAAATCTAGCTCTGAGGTAAGGTTTTAATTAAGACACATCACACAGCGCCATCTAGTCCCTTGCTAAGCAGAGCTTCTATTATGCGTACTATATAACTGACTAGCTACTCACCCCGCCTTCTCACGGGTGTACATGTATTACATATATAAACCTCTAGAATCACTATCTATTAAAAAAATAAGCTTCAAAATCCGTTGCGTAGTTTTAAAGATTTAAGCATACATAGGGACTGACAGATAGCGACTTCGTTTTATACTATGTAATGATATAAATACATCTAAATATATATAACTCAAAGGTGACTGACAGTGATCTATCAACGCACAGCCCAAACCGCTGGACGGATCGGGCTGAAATTTGGCATGCAGGTAGATGATATGACGTAGGCATCTGCTAAGAAAGGATTTTGATTAATTCTACCCCCAAGGGGATAAAATAGGGCATGAAACTTTGTCAATTTTAAACCGATCGGGCTGAGACTTGGCATGCATAAACTACTATGACGTAGGCATCCCCTAAGAGGGGATTTTGATAAATTCCACCCCTAAGGGGATAAAAGCGAGCGAAGCCGCGACCAAAGGCTAGTATATAGGAAATACTGAGAAGCAATCTTACTTACGAATAGAGTTATTTGTACAGTGCTAGGAATGGTGATGGATATATTCTGTGAATATACAGCAGTATATATAATTTATTCTTGATCTTTTACTTATCAATAAGAACACTAATTTTAAATGATGGATTATAATTTTTATTCCTCAACAAATGTTACATAGTAACGGCCTCGGTGGTCTAGCGAAGGTCGCGGGTTCGATTCCTCGCACGGCACAAACATTTGTATTCATGAGTATGATTGTTTGTATCGGTCTGGGTGTTTTCTATGTATAATACGTATGTATTTACGAAAAAAAATATCTACGTATTTGTATCAGTTGACTAGTACCCATAACACAAGCTTTAGGTGGCTTAGAATAGAATAGAATAGAATAGAAAATCATTTATTCAAATAAACTTACATTGAAGCACTTTTGAATAGTCATTACATTTTTTAATCTACCGCTCGTTCGGAAAGCTGTCTCATCACAAGAAGAACGAGCAAGAAACTTGCGTGTTGCTCTTTTAAATAATTTATTATTACTTTACATTTTTAAGTTTAAGTGTGTGAATACAAACCACCAATTAGCACTAATTCTATTAAATACTCAAATAGAAATAATATTGAATATATAACCAACTGGTTAAACAATTAATAAGAGGAAATCAGTCATAGTGATTAGAGCAGACCAGTCCCTACAAGCAGCACCCGTTCACGAGTATGACGGATGAGCCAGCCATCACTGCGCTCGACCATATTTTAGGGAGCCCAATGACCCGGCCCACCACGCCGCCACAAGTCTGGACATTTTAGTGAGCATGACTACTCAAAACACTAGACTACGTCAAAGCTACTTACAATTGCTATCTGATAGTTATAGTATTCACATTTTACATAAGAATGCATGCGGCAATCAATACAAAAACCGCTACGCTTTCATATTTCTAAAATCAATCACTTAAATCAAGAAAGCAATGAGAAAATTAAATTATAACGTTGTATGCTAATAAACTAGTTATTTACTTGATATGTTGTCGCTGCTTAATTTGGGTCTAGATGGCGCTGTGTGAATTGTCCTGAGATTATTTATTTATTTATAATAAATCGAACCCACGACCTCCCGGAAGTAAGACATATTGAAGAATATCTATAATTGATATTTTTTAAGTAACTGCATGGCAAACATGGTACCAATTACCATCAGAACACGATAGTAGCTCTATTTATCAGCTTTATTTAGTACCCATTTAAAATCATGAACAGCATCACTTTAACTTACCCAACAAGCTATTGACCAATATACAGGAAGCATGAGAATTGTGATTTTGTTTAGCATCTTTAGTTATTTAGGTTATAAAAAGCCAAAGAAAAAAGTTTCGTCGTTCTAGCTTGAACATTACATACAATTTTTGTATTATTTATTTTATTTATTTATTTATAATTGCATATGCATATACATAAATTAACAATACACATTGACTCTATTTAAAGAGTATGGTAATTTCGTAGATGACTCATTCCCAAAATGAAATTTATAATTTATATATATAGATCTGTTGTAGTGTCCACTTAGCTCCTATAGTACGTCTGTTAAAAATTCTTTTACTGTATAGTAAGCTTTGTCGGTCAGTAGTTCTTTAAGTCTTTTTTTAAATAAATTAATTTTATCTTCTTGTTTTATGGTTTCCGGGATTTTATTATATATTACAATGGATCGGTAATACGGACTCGCCCTAAACATTTCTATTTTAGGTTCTGGTAGGGTTGGGTAGGGTCTTTTTATCTATTATTACATTTAAAATTAAAATATGATAAATGCTCATGAACAAATACAGCCATCTCCAATATATAAATAGACAGTAAAATTATTTAGTTTTAACCCAAAAAAAAGGACATAATTTTTACTAACTTTGTGTGTCATATTTATTTACATTTAATCAACAGCTTAAAAAATAAATTACAGACTTTAAAAATGATTATTTAACCTTCCATCTTCCATTTCAACTCCTTACAACCCTTTTTCTCATCAAAAAGTAGTCTAAATGAATGACATAGATTATTAGGATCTAGAGTGTAGACCCAGAGACAGATAGTCTATGTCCACAGATAATCTAGACTTTAGACTATCTGTGTACTAAATTTAATTTAAATCGGTTCAGTAGTTTTGGTTTCAACGGACGACAGAAAGACAGAGTTACCTGCATTTATAACATTAGTATAAATAACTTTGTGCTGATAGTTTTAATAAAATAAATATATCATAAATTATCGTATTAAAATCCCAATTTTTTGCGATACGTTTTCACAATAACATTTCTTAATCTACCACAATATATTGTTTTTCTTATTAATTGTGATAAATTATGTATTAAAGATAAGAAAACACACCAATTAAAACTGTTATTTGTTTACTTTCAGATCTACGGTTTCATATCGGATGGCCCACTGAAGGGAAAACCCATATCCGGCTGTTTAGGAGATCAGCAGGCAGCGTTAGTCGGACAAATGTGCCTGCAGAAAGGGCAGGCTAAAGCTACATACGGAACTGGTTGTTTTGTTCTATACAATACGGGCGATATTCGCGTGAATTCCAGTCGAGGATTACTGACTACAGTTGCCTATCAGTTGGGTAGCAAAAATCCTCCATACTATGCCTTAGAAGGATCGGTATGTTTGTTTTTTAATTTATAGTAACTAATATATGTATATACTAGCTGACGTTGTTGGATCATATAAATAAAAAACACTGTTAAAAATAATATTGATGGTTGACGTGTGAAAATTTGGGGTTGTATATATTTTAAATGCCATATTATAAAATTAAAAATATTGTTAAAAAAAAGTGCTATGGGTGGAGGATAACCCTAAACTTGGGGGTATGAAAAATAGTAGTCTATTCTTAGATGTACTGAATAAGCATATAAATTTTCATAAAAATCTGTCAACCCGTTTCGGAGGAGTACGGCAACTAACATTGTGTCACGAGAATTTTATATATAAGATATATATCGTTGACCGTCAGATGGGCCGTATGCTTATTTCCCACCATCATGCTATAAGAATATAATAAAAATATTTCAAGACAATTCACACAGCTCCATCTACTTCCAAGCTACGCAGAGCTTGTGTTATGACAACTGATATAAATAAATAAACAATTTTTTCAAATATATACATAATAAATAAATAAACAATCCTGGACAATTAACAGCGCCATCTAGTCCCACGGTAAGCAGAGCTTGTGTTAAGGGTACTAGACTACTCATACAGATACATAGATATTTTTTTGTACATATGTACATAATATACATAGAAAAACACAGATACAAACAATCAGACACATGAATACAAATGTTTGCACAGTGCGTGGAATCGAACCCGCGACCATCGGAAGTAAAGCGGTCTAAACCGCTAAACTACCGAGCCCATCAAAATATATAACATATAATATACCCAGAACGATACAGTTACGCAACATATGATTATTTTATTACCCAGAATTAGGTTGACGTGATCATGAAATGGGTGTGTAAACGTATATACTAACACTAGCGAACCGTCCCGGCTTCGCACGGGTGCAATATATGCTGATAGTAAATATTACAGAATACCTACCTACTACAGAATGTTCTTAGAAACAATGTGTTGGCGACCGGCCGCCGCACCCTCTTTTGATAATTTTTATTATATTTAAATCTACATTTTTAGAACAGTTCTTATACGTCATGTTTTTTGATACATTACAATTATTCTTTCACTGTCCTTTTGATAGCTCTCAACTGCACATTTATATATTATACTAGCTTCTGCCCGTGGATTCGTTCGCGTTAATTTATCCCCTTAGGGGTGGAATTTATCAAAATCCTTTCTTAGGATATGCCTACGTCATAGTAGTTTTATGCATGCAAAGTCTCAGCCCAATCGGTTTAAAATTGACAGTCTCATATAAAATTTCATCCCCTATTTTATCCCTTTGGGGGTAGAATTAATCAAAATCCTTTCTTAGCGGATGCCTACGTCATAACTGCATGCCATATTTCAGCCCGATCCGTCCAGTGGTTTGGGGTGTGCGTTGATAGATCACTACGTCAGTCACCTTTGAGTTATATATATTATTATAAATTACAAATAAACTACGTGTTTTCATGATTTAGACACCAGTCCATCGATCCATTGCATATTGTTTACAGCTTTTTTGTCACACACAGTACAAACATGTTTTGTTTTGCGCCCCCGGAATTTAACATTTTAAATCTATAATATCATTTACAGCATCATTTAAGTTATTAAATGCTGTAAAGGGCCATATAGATCTATATTAAATGAACAAAGTATTTAAGTTACTTAATTGGATAAAAATTTATGCTGTATTGTTTAAAATGACTTCGTAAATAAGCTATTTTTGTCCGTAAAATGTACAGGATAAAAAATGATTATTGTGAGTTATCCTTAAGAGGTAGACATATACCATCGCAGACTTTTTTGTGGACCTTTAGAAGGTGTACAATACTGTAGTACATTATTTTGATTTATCTCAAGGGGTTCAGACAGCGTTTGCGATGTAAAAACTTGTTTATTTACTACATCACTCTCCTCTCTAAATTTATCAGAGTTTCTCTACAATATAAATCATGTATTATACATATAAACCTTCCTCTTAAATCTCTCTATCTGTTTAAAAACCACTTCAAAATCCGTTGCGTAGTTTTAAAGATTTATGTATACCTACATAGGGACAGACAGCGACAGCGAATTTGTTTTATACTATGTAATAATGGTAAGCATTATTCATCTACAATATAGATATGATACGATTAGTCGAAAACCCTATTAAATAATATGTTTATTAAAAGGGTTATACACGTATATGGGTTTTTCATCAACGCTAAAACTAACTAATACAACATAAATATTATAATAAAATTAAAAAGTCGTAAGGTGTTTGTTAAAATAATTACTATAGAATGATGTAGATTAAGTTACATTTTATTAGTGAGGGGCACCTATTTAAACCCTCAAATTCCATTGCGTAGTTTTAAAGATTTAAGTATATATAGAGACGGACAGACAGCGACAGCGACTTTGTTTTATACTATGTACTTAGTGATTACACGTAGATAAACACATTCTGTAATGTAAGTGATAATAATTTTATAGCACCAACTATAATCAGTCAACGTTTAAGTAATAATAGTTGTTTTATAGCGAAGACATTATCTTATTATGAAATAAGTAGAAATGTTTTTGTATTATTCGACACTATAATAACTAGGTATTAGGTAGGTACTAATAGGTATTGTGGCAGGCAGATAAGAAAACAAAATAACTGTAAAAATTATTTATTTATTAAATTAATCTATACATCTATGCATATAAATAAAATCGGAGTGTCTGTTTGTAATATTGTAATAACAGTTTTATACTACATGCATATGAATATAAATATGGTATATAGACCAAAATAACATTTTTTACAAGTTTTGTCTGTCTGTCTGTTTGTTCCGGGTAATCTCTGAAATGGCTGGATCGATTTTCACGGGACTTTTTTTGGCAGGTAGCTGATGTAATAGAGATTAACTTAGGCTACTTTTATTTTAGAGAAATAAAGTTAAATTCCACGCGGACGAAGTCGCGGGAACAGCTAGTATACTATAAACACAAAAATCTTCACTAATTTCCAAAAAACAGCAATATGCACAACGTACAAGATCAGTTACAAGATTTAAAAACAAACTTGCTGTTCCTAGTATCGTTCAGGAAAAGTCAATGGCTCTTTTATGGGAATGGGTATAAAAATTTACAATAAGATACCAAAGTATATATCGGAATTACCCTTAAATAAATTAAAAACATGTGTTAAATGATTTTTACTGAGCAAAGCCTATTACTCATTACACGGTTACTTGAATGACGAGGGTACATTGCAATAGTTGTTCATGCATAGGAATTTCATTTAATGTTACACATAGACACCTATATAAATATACATTGTAAATAAACTGACGTAAAAATAAAAATAATTCAATATAGTTTCTTGCCAGTTCCGCTCAATTGGATCTATATACTGAACTGGACGGTAGGGAACAAATTATTATATAAAAAATTTGACATTCATTAGCGGCTAAAATGATATATATAAAACTCTAATGCCGACAAACAAACAAATCATACTCACGAAAAATATTTCTAGTTTGTACCGTGCGAGGAATCGAACCCGCGACCATCGGAAGTAAGGCGGTGTGCCAAACCACCACCGAGACCGTACATACTCCTACTAAGTTTCTTAGTTACAATTACTTACAATGCTCTTTAACCCTGCATTTTATTACATATAGCGGTTATCTATTGTGGGGCAGCTGTATAGATAACGTACTTGATATAGCTGTATAGATTGATCTCGGTGGTTCAGCGGTTTATACCGCTTTAGTCCCGATGATTACGGGTTCGATTCCTCGCACGGTACAAACTAGAAATATTTTTCGTGAGTATGATTTGTTTGTTTGTCGTCATTGGTGTTTTCTATATATCATTGTATATATCATTTTAGCCGCTTAAGAATGTAAATTTTTTTATATCATAATTTTTTCCCTACCGTCCAGTTCAGTATATGGATCCAATTGAGGAGTACAACGTTATTCATGATTACTGGAATGATACACCCGCCTGCGTTAACGGTTTACGCTGGCGGGGCACTAATGGAGAATGATAAGGTGAGCATCAGGTCAGTGAGGTCATCGTGACAAATTGACCCGAAATTTATCATGATGGTTTCAGCAAGAGCCGCGTGGAGATCAACCTTACATGGTGACGTTGATAGTAATGTGGTTATTAATCCGGATTACTGGGGGAAAAGGAGATTGTTAGTAATGTGGACTGATGATCTTATTGCTAGCAAAGCTCTTCTTTCAAAGCTACCATCCTTCGGGTCGCCAGCTTTCTCGCTGATCGGAGCATCAAGGTCGTTGTCGATGGTGCTTGCTCCGACCACCACCCGACACTCTGTGAATGCTGGTGTTCCACAAGGCTGTGTACTGTCTCCGACTGTTCCTTCTGCATATCAATGACATGTTACAAGTCAACAACATTCATTGCTATGCGGATGACAGTACCGGAGATGCCTTGTACAGCGGCCATGCTAATATGTCGCAGGCAAAAGTTATAGAGTACCGGAACAAACTTGTGTCCGTAATCGAAACTTCACTCCATCAAGTTTCGGTTTGGGGTCAGGAAAATTGTGTTCAATTCAACCCCAAGAAGACACAAGTTTGCGCGTTTACCGCTAAAAAGAATCCATTTATCGTATCTCCTCAGTTTCATGACACTCTCCCTGATGTGAAGCCAAATCTTGAAGTCCTTGGCGTTGATATATCCAGTGACGTTCAGTTTTGCGGTCATTTGGAGGACAAGGCTAAAATAGCCTCAAAAAAGCTTGGTGTGCTCAGTAGAGTGGGACGGTATTTCGCGGCAGCCCATCGCTTGCAATTATACAAGGCGCAGATCCGGCCGCACATGGAATACTGTTCTCATCTCTGTGCGGGAGCACCACAATACCAGCTACTTCCATTTGACCGCATTCAAAACCGAGCAGCCAGAATCCTTGGTAATCAACGTCTATGTGACAGAGTCGACCCATTGGCTTTGCGGCGTGATATTGCATATCTGTGCATTTTCTACCGCATATATCACGGGGAGTGTTCTGAGGAATTGTTCGGATTAATACCAGCTGCTAAGTTTCACCACCGTACCACCCGCCAGAAACTGAAATACCATCCTGATCATCTGGATGAATGGAGGTCTTCCACAGTGCGGTTTTCTAGAAACTTTTTGCCTCGCACAACCACATTGTAGAATCACCTTCCAGCAATGATATTTCCGAACCGATACGATATTGAAACCTTCATGAAAAGAGCTTATTTCTTTTTAAAAAGCCGCAAACGTACTTGCAATTCCCCTGGTGTTGCGGGTGCTCATGGGCGGCGGTAATCACTTACCATCAGGTGAGCCGCACACTCGTTTGTCCCCTGTGTTATAGAAAAAAAAAAGCAAAGTATCATATCAAGTTGAACTCCACGCGGTTCCCCCCCCTTACTGTCATAGTGCTCGGTGCACCGTGCTTTCACGATAATGATGGTTATGAAATAGTATTTTGGAAATTGTTCTTGTTTTTACTGATGACCGCACGTACCCCTTCCTGCAACATCACGTACCCCTGGGGGCACGCGTACCACTAATTGGGAAACATCGATCTAAAGTATAAGCGTGCGAAACTTTAGACTAATCCGTTTGCTCAATTTTCCCAAAAAGGGGAACAAAGTTTTTGCTTAAATCTATATATACAGGCATCCATAGGCTACGGTAAACGATTTATCATCAGATGGGCCGTATGGTTGACAAATAAATCATTAAATGTATGAGACACTAATGAGGTACAAATAAAAATCATTGTTAAATTATAATATTTACGTAATCTTTACATCTATACATATAAATTAAATTGGAATGTCTGTTTGTAATATTGAAATAACAGTTTTTTTATATATGCATATGAATATTAATACGGCACATACCAAAATAACATTTTTGACAATTTTTGTCTGTCTGTCGGTTTATTCCGGCTAATCTCTGAAATGGCTTGAATGACCGATTGTGACGGGACTTTTTTTGGCAGATAGCTGATGTAATAATAACTTAGGCTACTTTTATTTTAGAAAAACGAAGTTAAATTCGACTTAGTCGCGGGTACAGCTAGTTATTAATATAATGATTTCTGTTATTAGGTGGCAATAGCTGGGGCAGCGTTAGGCTGGCTGAGGGATAACCTAGGACTTTTGGAGAACGCGAAGGACTCCCAAGTGCTCGCTGAAACAGCGACAGACAACGGTAGTGTTGTATTTGTACCAGCCTTCAGTGGACTATATGCACCATATTGGAGACAAGATGCACGCGGGTCAGTAAACATATATATACTACATACATACATATATATATATATATATATATACACAACATATACAACAACAACACAACATACACAACATATTGCGTAATTATAACGACAAACATGTAAATATTTATTTATTTATTCTTTTGCACACAAAAATGGCGGACATATATATGGAGTACTTAATGCCTGATGGCATTCTCTACCAGTCAACAGTCGCGTTGATCAGATATAATAAATAATAATAATAATATCAGGACAATTCACATAGGGCCATCTAGATCCAAGTTAAGCTAGCTAAAGCTTGTGTTATGGGTACTAGATAACTGATACATATACATAGATATATATTTTGTCGTAAATACATAAATATTATACATAGAAAATACCCAGACCGATACAAACAATCATACTCATGAATACAAATATTTGTACCGTGTGAGGAATCGAACCCGCGACCATCGGAAGTAAGGCGGTGTGCTAAACCGCTAGACCACCGAGGCCATTCTCGTGTCACAATGTTAGTTACCATACTCCTCTGAAACGGCGTGACCGATTTTTATGAAACGTTATATGCATATTCAGTAGGACTGAGAATCGGCTACTATCTATTTTTATACCCCTAAGTGATAAGGATTGTACACCCCTAACATTATTTTTTATTTAGTAGGCAATTTTTTTTATTATGTGTCTGTAAAAAATACATACAACCCTAAATTTTCACCCTTCTATCACAAACCCCTATTTTTTATAGCGTTATTAATTTGTATGGCAAATCAATGTTTGCCGGGACGGCTAGTTGATATATAAAGTTATTGATATTGATTTGGTAGCAATGGTGTTATCATCATCTGCTTCATCCTTATCCCATTTATTTGTGGTCGGTTTAATATGTTTTTCTCTTCCAGAGTAAGTTTTTTTTTCTACCTCACTTCTTTTAACACTCATTGCTCGAGATGGGCGCAAATATCTGCAACACACTTTTTATAAACTAATGTATTTGTTTACGTTTAACATGAAATTAACTTTTGAATAGTCTACATATTTTTTTTAATCTATCGCTCATTCGGAAAGCTGTCTCATCACAAGAAGAACGAGCAAGAAACTTGAGTGTTGAATTGTGCTAATTGGTAGTTTGTATTCACACACTTCAACTTAAAATGTAAATTAACAATAAAATTATTTAAAAGAGCATTTTAAATAATTTTTCACAATTCAATTAAATACTCAAATAGAAAAAAAATATATACAACCAACTGGTTAAACAACTAAATAAGAGGAAATCAGTCATAGTGATTAGAGCAGACCAGTCCCTACAAGCAGCACCCGTTCACGAGTATGACGGATGAGCCAGCCACTGCGCTCGACCATATTTTAGGGAGCCCAATGACCCGGCCCACCACGCCAACACATGTCTGGACATTTTAGTGAGCATGACTACTCAAGACACTAGACACGTCATAAGTCGTCACTACGTAAGTTAGGCAGTAAAGCACCAAGCCACGATGCTCTCAACGTCATAATGAGTGATACTTTTTTTATAAGCCATAACTAATTGACCTTTGTGATAAAATGTCAATTAGTTATGGCATGGAAACAAGATCAATAACTCTACGTTATTACGTAAATTTATTCTAGCTATACATGCGACTTCATCCGCGTGGATTCTTGATTTAATTTTCTAATATAAAAGTAGCCTAAGTTACTTCTTATTACATCAGCTACCTGCCAAAAAAAGTCGCGTCAAAATCGGACCAGCCATCAGAGATTAGCCGGAACAAACAGACAGACAAGCAGACAGTTATTACAATTTTAATAAATGTTATTTTGGTGTATGTATCGTATTTACATTCATATGCATGTAGTAAAAAACGGTTATTTCAATATTACAAACAGACATTCCAATTTTATTTATATGTATAGATTAATAGATTACGTAAATATTATAATTTAACAGTGATTTTTATTTGTACCTCATTAGTGTCTCATACATTTAATGATTTTTTTGTCAACCATACGGCCCATCTGATGATAAATGGTTTACCGTAGCCTATGGATGCCTAAAACATTAAAGGGGCCACGTGCGCGTTGTAGTCCCTTAAGAAACCTCAAAAACCCTCCTTGTTCATATATCGATAAGGTTACTTTTGTATGCTCTTGAAACTTAGCATCATCAAGCATTGAAAAAAAGAAAGATTAAAAGAAATTACTGTGACTATTCAAAAGTTTATTTAAATAAAGAATTCTTTATTCTACTCTATTCTAAAGGTACATTTAAGTTTCGAATGGTCTTGAAACTTTTGGCATCATGAAGCATTAAATATAAAGAAAGATTAAAAGAAATTACTGTGTTTATCCAAAAGTTTATTTGAATAAAGAATTCTTTATTCTATTCTATTCTAAAGGTACATATTTGATTTTACAGAGTAATCTGTGGGATCACAGAAGACACAAATTCAAATCACATAATAAAAGCAGCTCTGGAAGCTGTGTGCTATCAGGTACGGGATATTCTGGATGCAATGAACGAGGACTGCGGTATTCCTTTGCAACTGTTGAAGGTCAGTATTTAGTTTATATTAGTTAATATTAATTATTTTAGAAAGAAAGTAAGGAAACGCGTTTATTTGATATAGAAAGGAAGGAAAGTAAAAGGAAGATACGTTTGTTCGATACCCATATGCAAGAATGAAAATAGGAATAAGTCTAATAATAAAATCTTATTGATATTATAAACTCGAAAGTTTGTAAGTATGGATGGATGTTTGTTAGTCTTTCACGCAAAAACTACTATACAGATTTTGATGAAACCTTACAGTAATATAGTTTATATATCAGAATAGCTAGGCTATAATTTGCGGGTGAAACCGCAAACCGCAGCTAATATAATGTAATAATAATTTCTGGACAATTCACACACCGCCATCTAGTCCCAAGCTATGCACAGCTTGTGTTATGGGTACTAGACAATACATACTTTTTGTATGTATAGTAAACATCCAGAACGATACAAACAATCATATTCATGAATACCAATGTTTGCACCGTGAAAATCGAACCCGCGGCTATCGGAAGTAAAGCGATGTGCTAAACCACAAGACCACCGAGGTCGTCAAAAATTTGACTTATCATCATCATCTGCTTCTTCCTTATCCCATTTATTTGTGTCGGCGTAATGTTTTTCTCTTCCGTTCATCTCAGTTTGTAGTCATAACGTTATGTACTTCCTTTCTTAACATGGTATCTTTCACACAATCCTTCATCCCTTTTTTGTCTTATAACCATCCACATTCATATGTAACACCAAAAACATTACTATTAATGTACAGTCGCTGCGTGTGCGTATACGACCCGGTATTTGCTTTTTGCAAACTTTACAGTAGAAAGAAAAAACTTAATATCTCAGCTTTTTCAATTCTTATTACCGACTTAACAGTTAGTTATTCACAGCTTCCTTTATTGGTAAATAACGTAAATTTACTTATAGTTGACTTTGATATTATGGAAAGTCATATACGCGGGTTTGTTTTGATTAATTACAAAACAAGTACACTTATTGAAAGTTGTGAAATAAAACAATTTTGTAAAAGGTTGTATTTATTATTAGAAAAATCAGATACAAAATAATATAATTTAACAAAAATATGAGGTATAGTTTATTGAAATTGTTTATATTACATATTCATAATTTTAAATACAGATATTATAAAAGCGTTGAAACTTCTTATGCAATGGATCACATTCAAATTCAAATTTAAAAATCATTTATGTATGTAGGACATTTTAGCCGCTTATGACCGTCAAATTTTTACATTATAATTTTATTTTTTTCCCTACCGTCCAGTTCGGTATATAGATCTAATTGAGAAGAACTGGCAAGAAACTCAATTGAAATACTTTTTTTTAAAAGCCAGTTTATATACAATGTATATTTATCTATGTCTATGTCTAACATTAAATGAAAATCCAGTGCATGAACAACTATTGCCATGCACGCTCGTCATTCAAGTAATCGTTTAGTGCGTAATAGGCTTTGCTCAGTAAATATGATTTAACAGATGTTTTGAATTTATTTAAGGGCAATTCCAACATACGTAAATTTTTATACCTATTCCCATAAAAGACCTATTAACTTTTTCTAAACGATACTTGGGGACAGCAAGTTTGTCTTTAAATCTAGTATTAATATTATGAATGTTTGGGAAACTACTCTGCTACCAAAATGGTACTAGGTAAGGGAGGGGAATCAACTGCGCGGGAACAGAACTAACGGGCTCTAATATAATAATCTGTGCTTTGATCAAAATAATGATCTGAAATAAAAAAATCATTTAATAATTGTAATCTATTCAATTTCAGGTCGACGGTGGTATGACATCCAATAATTTGGTAATGCAGATGCAAGCAGATTTAATCGGAATAAACGTTATAAAGGCTGGATTCACTGAGAGTACGGCGCTTGGAGCAGCTTTAGTTGCTTACTGGGGAGCGGACAAGACTACACAAGTGGCTCCTATACCGATGACATCTGGAGCTACCTACGCTCCACAAATTAGTGATGACGAGCGAGATATGAGATACAAACAATGGAAAATGGCCGTTGATAGGTCCCTGGGGTGGGATCAGAATTGAAATTGTTTTGTGCCTAACTGAAACGTATTCTAAATTATGGCAACGAAGGGTCATATATTTCCACTTAGACTTACTTCTATATTCAAATTCAAAATATCTTTATTCATGTAGGTATATTACAGACTCTTTTGATATGTTAAATCTACCGTCATGTGTCAGTTAGGAATGATTCGAGATGAGAAGAACTAACAAGAAACTAAGCTTGTTATCGTTTCAAATAAATGTTGTGCATGTCTACAATAATACAGATTCATTTTAAATTCAAATTTGAGAGAATAGAGTCACTATCTTACATTCTTCTATTCGTGCATCTGGATTAGAGGTTCCTAATGGACTGACCTCAAACATTTGGACGTCATTTGCATTATAAGACTAGAGGATTTTAACGGAATTATCGTGGCTATAGATTTTTTTATGTCAATGTATATATATAACAATATACGGTGACGGTAGGTATTCTTAAAAAAAAAACAAATAATTCTGAGGCGATGATTTTGGGAAAAGTAGAGATAGAAAAGTGGTAACAATGTTAATAACACAGGGGTGTAAGGCAGGAGGGTAGCAAGTCAATTATTAGACCTTGCCAAGAGGTAATGTATATTATATAATAATAATTCTCAGAACAATTCACACAGCGCCATCTAATACTAAGCTAAGCAAAGCTTGTGTTATGGGTACTAGACAACTGAAGTAAATACTTAGACACATTTTTGTTTGTAAATGTATAATATACATAGATAAAATCCAAATATTGCAAACAATCATGAATAGAAATGTTTCTGCCGTGCAAGGAATCGAACCCGCAACCATCGCAGGTTAGGTTAGGTTCAACCGCTAGACTACCGAAACAGTCTTTATATGTTGTGTCATTGACATCGGCGACTGCCTTCCTTCCTTATTACCACTCTGCCTAGATAGGAACATAGACACGTAAATGAAAAATCTAACAAATAGTAATAAAGTTAGTGCCTTTTTTATAACATTAGCTCGGTGACTAGTCGATTACCAGATTTGTTGTAAATCGTGACATATCTGAGTATTTTAATTAAAATTATATAATTACCAACTGAATTATAAAAGGCGTTCAAATGAAGATATTACCATTTTTCTTAATAATGTAAGTCTAAATCTTACCCATTAGTAATTGTCCCCTATACAATTCATCCCCACACGCTGGAATCTAAGTGGTCTCGGACAGTGTGGTTTCAGATGAGCTTCCTCTCGGGTACACTGATTGTGAAATGAACTACCTGCCGAGGTTTTCTCGAGAGACTACAGCATGGGGTAACCGTTTACCATCAGATGGGCCGTATGCTTGTTTGCCACCTACGTGGTATAAAATAAATGCTGTAGGCACTGCATAGTATTGGTACAAATCGCCCTAGTTATGCTATATAAAAAATATTCAAATCAATTCAAAATACACGTTGTTTTGCCATGTAAATTAAACTTTCCGATATTTATGAATATCGGGTAGATCTGAGAATATTTATTTTTCACACCCCTCAATAATGATGCTTACTCACTTCTAAAGATATTTATTTCTTTTTGTGACACCATTTTTTAAACCCAAATATTTTCTCTCTTATACCATCAACCTTTATTTTTAATAGCGATATTAATTTATATAGCAAAACAATTTTGCCATTCTTCATTTTTACGATTGAGGGCGTTTACACAACTGATTATTATTTTACGAAATTATTCCTAATTAATTGGTAAGTTTAATTTGAGGACCATAAAATATGCTTATATATTAATTATTTAAAATATGTTCACATCTATTGATTTTTTAAAATGTTTATTCGATTGTGGAATTCATATTAATTGAATGTGGCCTTTATTGTTTTGTCATAAGTATATAATAATTACTAATATTATCCCATATTGGACATTGTTATATAAATACAAAGCTGATATTTAATAATTGAATATTCTAAAATTTATATTGTAAGTTTGATATATATTAATGTTGTTTTTTTTTATAATATATGTTGAGAATCCGAATTACTGTTGCAATGAGAAGGTTTATTGTTATTGCCTTTTATTAAAATGATTTCATTTGAAGAATAATTATATTCGTAATTATTTTCTATTTCATTGATATCAATTATGCATTATTAGTAACTAGCAACAACAACAGACAACGAAATATTTTTAACTGTATTATAGTTATTAGTAAAATATTATTTGTTATAGCAAATAGCCTCAATCATATTACAGATTTATTAGCGCTGTTAATTATACATTTCTTCCTATGAAATATGTAATAAATGTTATAAATTTTATTTACAGTATAGTAAAATATTTAGTAAATATAATGTCAATATAAATTAATTAATATTTCTTATAAATACTGGCTTATGCAGACTTTGTAAAGTATGTTTATATTCTTAATGCATATCATTAGATCGCCTTTAATGTTTTACTGTCCTAATTAGGCCTCAGGGTGGTCTGGCGGCTATAGACATTGCCTCACTTTCCGGTAGTCGCAGGTTGAATTTGTATTTAACTTGATATGATTAAGTTTATCGCGAGTATACTTAAAATAAATTTGTATATAATCGGATACCAAACTAAGCAGAGCTTGTGATATAAGACTGCAGTTAAAAATAGTAGTCAGGTCACGGAACAGTCAACATTAGGCTACCAAACTATATCGGCGGACTATATAATCTATAGACATTGCGACACGCTCGCCTCTTAACGAGCCATCATCAGGCAATGATCTATTCATTGCCTGATGATATGCAATATGACTGTAGATCCGATAACGGTCAGTTTGATCAGTAATGGGGAAGATCGTAACGCTTCCAGTAACGGTGGTCAGTTTCCGCACTGAATATTTGTAGTTTCACACATGCTAAAGGTTTTAAACAAAATTATTAAGTAACTAGCTTTTACCCGCAGCTTCGCTCGTGTTAATTTATCCCTTTGGGGGTAGAATCAAAATCCTTTCTTAGCGGTTGCCTACGTCATAACATCTACTTGTATGCCAAATTTCAGCCCGATTCGTCCAGTGATTTGGGCTGTGCGTTGATAGATCACTACATCAGTCACGTTTGATTTATATATATTTATGATGTAATATCAGACCGATACAAATTTAATTCGCGACTATAGGTATAGAAGTTTCTGAGACTCTTGATATCGATTGCATATACTTATTGGTTGCATGAGACATAACTTATAAGTGTAATCTATGTTATTTTTAACGAAAAACTGTCTTCTGCGTAGGACTTAAGGCTTATATTAACATTTCATATGCTGACAACTTTCGTGACGACACAAAGTTGCGTCAGTGTGCCTTAATTCGAGTAGCAGCTTTGCGGTGGCTAGTATTTACGTATCGCATGTGCCTATGCGATAGAAATATTACCTATTTTAACTTGGGGACAATCCTCGTGGAGTCCGCCCGCCCCGGGGTAGGTAAAGTACTGCCGGACTCTTTCCGGTTTAAAACCCCAAGGTATTTCTTCTCTTAATCTTGTGTCAGAGTTACGGGAGAGCGCAAGCAATCTTCCGTAGACGTGACGGTATGTTCCTATGACGCGTACATTTGTACTACTACACTTTTACTAATAAAACTTTGAGTTTATATATACTGTACGAGGCACTGTACGAATGGAGTAACGTACATGAGCAATGTGTTCACAATATCGTAATTAAATTCTAAAATTGTAATACTAGTTACTAAATTATATAAACTTGGAATAATTACAAAATGTATTATATATATATATACATACATAGTTATTTATACATTATTGTTATCGAATTTTTTTTATGTTTATTTCTGTATATTCATACATTTTATTAGTAGTAATTTTAAATGATTGAAAGTTTTAATTTGCTAATGTTATTGCAAATTACACGTCGAAAACGTCACAACATGCAATATTTAGAGGCCATTAATATTATATAAGGCTAGTCTATATATATTGCGTCCTGTTTATATATTGATGAAGTTTGTTTTTTGTTTTTTTGACTTATAGAAAAAGCAGCATGGTTAAGTCCGCTAAATTTACTATATATTGTGTTTATTCAATGCACACAATGTGCATTGAATTGAAATAAATAATATAAGTTCAAAATTTATATTCAGTTTTCCAGTATCATCTTGGAAATTCATTCACTTTCATTAATAAAGAATGACTAGCCCTGATCGTATGTATATCTCTCGATATACCCATCATCTAGTGAATTAATTAAAATAAGACGTCACAACGTAATGGCGTTATGAATATTCTAAAATTTGTTAAATGAATTTGTATTGTTATTTATGTATAGGCAAAATATTTAACTAATCTATGTTATTAAGGTTTGTATCGTTTTTGTGCTATATAGTGCGGGTTGCCGGGAATATCTGTAGAATAATTTAGTTGATATTAATATAGTTAGTTTTAAGCGTTTGAATGTAGGTAATTTATCCATCTTAAACTAGTTTACTAGTTCTTTGTTATACCACAGACTATAAAAAATTCTAGATAATGCAGTTAAATATTAATCGTGCAATATTTTAAACATATAGTCTCTGGTTGTACTTTGTTTATGTCAGAGGTATATCACAGCTATCTTATTTATGAAGCCACATGTGTTTTAGAATCTAATTATCTTGGGCTTGCTTTTATCTGAGCCATATCTGAGCTTACTCTTCTCAATATCTTCTTTCACATAGTCCATCTATCTATTTTTCTTATTTTTCTCCCTATACATCCACAATTCATATTAAGTACTTTCTTATGGTCCTCTCTCCCCATAACATGCAGATACCACACAAAATCTGCTACCTAACTTCTCTATTACAAAGTCAGAAGCTCTGAATTCGTATAATTTATTCGCTAAACATATTCTATATATATATAAACATATAAATAACCTCAAAACGCTCAACAAAACGTAAAAATATTCAAAATCACAACATTATGATATTTGAATTAAAAAGAAATTATATTTATTTTTTTACGTACGTTATATACGTATATATATAATAATATATATGTATTTATTTCGATAATTTAGCATCCCCTCCAGAGGAACACATTAAGCAATTAAAACTTTGGCCGTTTCAAATCGCGGCTGGAATACTAGATAATATATTCATAATAAAAAAAAATGTGATAATAAAAACAGTAGAGAGACGAATAAAATTAATAAAAAAAAACTTCTCTATTACTGGCGCAACCTTCAAAGTTCCTCGTACACATTCCTTCTTCTATCATTCCTAGTTACCTCATACATTCCTACCTTCGTTACCTTTTTTATCTTTTACAATTTGGCATCTTATTGCCTTTTCATAAAATCTTCAAACTTTATTTCTCACATTGAAATGTTGTCTATCCTATGCCTTCATATGAAAGAAAAGGAAAAAAAAACTCCAATGGATGTGTGGTTTAAATGTACAGGAAACTGGATTAACAGGGTAGTAGTGATCTCATTAGATTATGTAGATAGTTTTAATATGTTGAACTATCGTAATCAAAATTACATTAACACTACGAATTGATTAATGTTTTAAATGTAAAAGTATGTGATATTGTTCAATTGTTAGAACGGCTAAGTTGTATTTGACTAAAACACAATTGGCTCATATCCTATATTAATAACATAGAATAAATCTCGAATCTGGAGAACATGTTATTTAGTTGTTGTATAAAAATTTTCTATTAGGACATTTTATATTGCGAGGAGTACTGACTCCCCTAGTCTGTCGAATTACTCTGATTACCACTACTGTGGTATAAAAAATGTATAGTGTGATATACCTTTTGATAGAGAAAGACTAAGTTAAACTAATTTAAGTACAAATTACAAACTATAATAATAAGTCACTGATTCAACTGTTAACCGCACATTTTAAGCATACTTTAGCTATTGATTCAAATATACCATACAATATTTAATACAAATATCCTATCCTATCGTTAACACGCATGAAACTACGGAGTTTATGTCGAAAACAAGTTATATGTGGAATTTTTCTACTCTATATCATGTCCACTGTAACATGGTGCTGGTAAGAGTTTCATTTCATTCTTAAATGTTGCCCCGATTTACAAATTATTACTTAGTATTTCAACTGTACCAATAGGTTAAATAATCAATAACTGTACTAACTT